AACAAGTTATGAAACAAAGTTTTTAGGATCTAAATTTGAAATTTAACTAAATTTTTCAAAATGGATAAAGGATTTGGGGGATATAAATGCAGTTGTTTAAAACTAGGTTTGAATTACATACTTAATAAGGCAGACATTTTTGTATGTAAAATATATAGCTAAGTAGTTGTATACTTAGTTGTGAGAAGGAGGATGAGTCCTAGCATGTTCATAATCTGAACTGAAAACGCCATTGTTTCCTTTAACTTTCTTGTGATCATTCTTTAATTCTTCCAATCTCTTCACCTGCTTCCTTCTCCTCTTGTATCTTGTTCTTTTGGATCTTACACTTTCTCTCTCTTCACCTGCCTTTGAAGCTGATAGCTTCATGCATTCTATTGCTGGTTCATCCCATGAAAGAGCTATCTTCCCCAATCTTCCCTAAAACATGATAACAAAAACAAAAACTGGGTTATCTTCAACATAAACTGATTTCTAATGGTTCGCTTGAACCCATTTGTTGCGGTCACGGTCTAGGATGTTCGATTTGACCCATTTGGTCCTAACGGACCAAGTCCACCGCTAGTAAATATTGTCTGTTTTGGTCTATTATGCATTGCAGTCAACCTCACAGTTTTAAAATACATTTGTTAGGGAGAGGTTTCCACACCCTTACAAGGAATGTTTCGTTTCCCTCTTCAACCGACGTGGAATCTCAAAATCCACCATCTTGAAGACCCATCGTTATGGCTAGCCGACAACTCAATGTTGGACTCTTATACCATTTGTAACAGCTCATGCCCACTACTAACAAATATTGTCCGTTTTGACTTTACGTATCGTCAGTAGTCTCACGGTTTTAAAATGTGTTGGCTAGGAAGAGATTTCCACATCTTATAAGAAATGCTTTGTTTCTCTCTACAACGGATGTGAGATCTCACAATCCACCCTCTTGGGGACCCATCGTTCTCGTTGGTACATAACCCAGTTTCAATACCATTTGTAATAGCCCGAGCCCACCACTAGCAAATATTATCCGTTTTAGCCCATTACGTATCGTTGTCAGCCTTCAAGATTTTTTAACCCGTCTACTAGGAAGAAGTTTCAACACCCTTGTAAGAAAAGTTCCCTTCTCCAACCAATATGGGATCTCACTCCACCCTCTCTTGGGGACCCATCATCCTCACTAGCACATCATTCAGTGTATGACTCTGATACTATTTGTAACAGTCCAAGCCCAACACTAGCAAATATTATCCGCTTTGGCTTATTACATACCACCGTCAATCTCACGGTTCTAAAACGCGTCTGCTAGGGAGAAGTTTCCACAACCCTTATAAGGAATGTTTCGTTCTCCTCTCCAACCGACATGAGATCTCACATAATCAGTCAGTTCGTTCTCTACAAACCTTCCAAAACAATGGAGATCTCTAATCGAACAAATTGAACGATCGACTTCATCGATTACATTGAACAACAAAACCAACACCCACCAACCCATAATAGCAAATTCATAGTTTTTGCATAGTTTAGGTACCAACCTTAATAGGAGCTTGAAATTTCTTCTGAAATTTGATATCACCTAATTGAAGAGTCCGTGAATGGCATGCTTGAAACGAAATGCAAACAAGAAATAGAAGAAGATAGAAAGAGATTGACATATTATTATGAGATAAAGAAGGCAATGGCTTGGAAATTATAGATCTCCTCAGAAACTGCATAGAAACCCACAAGATATTTCTTCTAGATAAGAGAAGAAATTAGTGGAATCAAGATAAGCAATATTTTGTTGATTTGTGTTGGAGTTAGGGTTTGTTGCGTGCTCCCCTTCACCTTTATGCATTGGAATGCATAATTTTGGTATTAATATATGAAGGGAAGAGTCATAATATATTATTTTGGTAGCAAAAAGTAAGACATTTTTCCCTTTAAACAAGGTTTCTTCAACATCAAACCATGCATCGTCCTTGGTGAAGATATCCCCCCATGTCTCTTCTCCTTGTTAGTTTATGAAATTTTAACTTTCCAATGAGAATTTTAAGAGTTTGTTTTGTTCAACTTATTAGTTGCACTTAATGGGGTTCCTTCTTTTTTGTCTCTTTCGATCGTTTCTCGAGAAAATTGATGGAACAATAAATAATTGTTTTGTTGCATTTGAAAATTCTTCTAGTTTCAAAATCTTATGTATTTTTTTGCCGTTATGATATGGGTGTGGTGGAGGAGTTGACAACTACTTCAGGTAGCAAACACGAGAAAGTTTGAGGGATCGAGAATCGGTGATCAAGAGACTTAGGACTGATATTCATGGTTGATTGGTCAACCTGATCATAAAAATGTCAATCTGCAAATCGAATGGAGTTTTCAGTTTTCCAAAAATTCAACTAAAAAAAGTCTTTAACTTCTTAGTTTGGGTTGTGTAGTCTAAGTTGGTCGGATTATCGAGTCTTATGAACACTTTTGTCTTCTGAACTACATATTTGAGCATTGCTGAATGTGGTCTAGTCGGATTATCGAGTCATATGAACACTCTTGTCTTCTGAACTATATATTTGAGCATTGCTGAATTAGTAAGACCACTTCCATTCAAGTGATCTTTAATATATAATTATGGCTCGAGCTTGGGGTATAATAGACTCTAGAAACAAGTTTAATAAATTAACTTGTAGCTATCTCAATTAATTAATTTTGTTTTCACTTCCATTATTAAATTTTAGAACTATCATTGAATTTTTATAGAACATGGTCCACTCACGTACACATGGATTCATTAGCCAAGCTCGCATACATGCAAGAATGGGCCTAACTTGGTCTACAGAAAAGAAAAGACAGACATGATATCATGACGTACATAGATATCGAAAATACGCATATATACTAACATAACATAATGGGGAAATATCCTAATGCACATGACATACACATATGCATGAGGTCCCCATGATTTACATTCATGGCATAATATTAACATTCTTCTCTTTCTCTTTTCATCCATGACATAGTACGTATATGCATAATGTATACATGATAGTCATCACATAATCTATCATATAGTTTTACATGACATGACATGACATACATAGTACTTCATTTCTTTTACAAAATGGCATAATGTATATCAAATGCATACATAGCATGACATCATATGTAATTACATAGAACAAATAAAATAATATGGTGCATGCAGGGGTCACATGAGAGGTTCGATTATGTCATTTGAAATTTAAGTCAATCTAAGTCAATTTATGTGAGCCTATGACATCAGTTTCAAGTTTCAACTTTTACAAAAACAATTTCTCTAATGTACAATGGTTCATGTGTCGGACTTCATGCAAACATTAGAGTTTTGCATGAGTAGAGTCTTGGATGAGAAAGTCTTGTATTAGGGAAGACTTTGATGTGTCAATCGAGAGAGTTCACTACTAAAAATTAGTTGACGACTCTCTAGTAATGTGTATAATCATAATCGTGAGGAAGCGGCTCTCTTACTTGCCAACTACTCGATACCCATGTTGACCAGTGTTAATCTAGACGAGTTCACTATCATAAAATAGTTAAAGGTCTTCAAATAGTCTCGATAGTTTGATAAAATGACATTGTATGCGTCACGAACATAACTCTAATACAAATGTAGATCTTGGCTTCGGAAACAAATCATTAAAGGTTAATTGAAAATTCTCTGATAGTCTCCGTATTGTATAATCGAAAGGAGAGTGACCCAGTAGCTTAATTACAATAATACTATACGAACCCTTGTCCATCTCGGCAAATTCATTGCTAAGGGTTAGTTTAACCTAGACTTCATTATCATAAAGATTTGGCATGGTATGCTTAAGTTCCATATGGAACTTTTATTAATGGGTTGCGGATCAAAGCTTTAATAGAATTCGATCTGGTTTTCTGCCGCGGCGGTGTTTTCTGTGTGCGCATGGTCTCCGGCGTTTGGATCTGCGTTCAACGGCCGAACTCATAAGGTTGTCTTTTCTCCTCCCTTTCAGTTATTGATAATTTCTCTGTTGATCATTCTTGGAAAACATTTCAGAGCTCTTCTTTTGTTCGATTCACACATCTTAATATCCCCTTTTGTATATGTTTGTGCACGTAATTTTTTCGATAGATCCCAATCTGCTGGAAATCTTTACTCTACTGTCTCTGTTCTTTACTTTCTTCATAGCACGCTATTATGCTAAGTATACAAAATTCCAAGCGTGTTGGTTCTAGGGTTTATAACACATCGCAACTCCCAAATTTGATTAGGCAGAGAAATCATGTTGAAGATTAGCCATACATCTTAACAACTTATATGAAATTTCCAAGTAATCCACATTAGTCTAGTCGTACAGAACAGTGACATGAAGGTGATAAACTATACTGGCAAGGAAGATGAGCATAGTTTCTAAGGCATGTGGGCTACCTTGGAGAAGGAGCTATTTCCGATTCAGAGAGAATTCTTGTAGACATGATACGAGTTTGTGGGGAAGTGCTTTGATGGACTGGTAGACACTCCTTAAGCTCTCTCAAAACATGACTTATGTCTGGCCTTTGAAGTACAGTTGATTGAGTGCATGACATGGCAAGTTCTATGATTTTCCAGGCTGAATTGTGGTTGAATTGTCCTCCTAACTTGAAATCAACAATTTGTTGAATGTCTCCTGTTTGGATCATTGGTTCCACCCAGTTTAATATGTGAAAATTCCCACCAGAAGTTTTTGTTATTGCAGGCTGTCCAGTGACCAGCTCAAGCAAGATAATGCCAAGGCTATAGATATCACTTTGCTTATTTACATTACCACACCCTTGAGCTCTGTGTAAAAAGCACATAAAACATAGAATCAAGTGACTAAAACAATAAAAAACCAAAATCTTATTTAAGTTAAGAGTTAATTAGGTCTCTTGTTTTACTTACCCAAGGTCGAGATATCCTGGTGTACCAGCTAGACGAGTAAAAGGTTGAGATTCATTTTCAGTTGCAAAAGCTCTAGATAATCCAAAATCAGCTATTTTGGCTGTCATTCTCTTGTCTAATAATATTTTGCAGGTTTTAAATCTCTATGGATAATTGGAGGTTTGCAACCATTGTGTAGATACTCCAATCCTGTAAAATGGCATACGAGAGTAAGTGAGTTCGTTTTTTTTTTTAAATATTGTCTTTAATGCTTTTGATAAAGACAATAGACCTCTGTATATCTCTATAATGATATAGTATTTGTCCACTTCGAATAAAAATTCTCATGGATTTGCCTTAGATTACCAAAAGATCTCATCCCGATAAGGATATTGCCCTATACAAGAAAGAAAGAAAAGAAAATATATGTTCTAATTTAGTTTACTAACCCTGTGATACATCCACTGCAATTTGAAGTCTTCCAATCCAACTAAGAGTATCGGTGTTTGAATTTGTATTTTGGTTTTCTGCATGAAAAACATATAACAAGCTCAGCTCATTGATACCTGGAGCCATTTAGAAATTTCAGTGAGTGATTCTGAGTAGAGAAATATCAATACTTAAGTGTTGCTGTAAACTTCCATTGGCCATATATTCATAAATGAGCGCCTTGTGTTGACCTTCATCACAGTATCCAAGTAGGCAAACCAAGTTGCGATGATGAAGAACCATCAGAAGTTTTGCCTGCATTTCAAGTGGGATGATTTCAGTTGACTTCATCACTTGTTGGCCATCATATTGAATGGTAAAGATGGGTAAAAAAACAAGCAATACTTATCTGCTAGCTAGACTCCAACTTTTTGCAGCCCAACCTGCCCACACGACAGAAGAAAAAAAAATTTTAAAAATTATATGCACCTCTATTCGAAACTCTTTATTGCCTTGTTGTGACGTTGCTGAAAGCATCTTCACTGCAACTGTAGTTTGATCCTTCAGAGAACCAAGATAAACTTTCCCAAATCCTCCTTCTCCAAGAACCACCCCAAAGTTTTCAGTAATACCCACAACCTCTTCGTAGCTATACTGTCTACCCTTCAATTTTAGTGGATCCTCTTGTTTTGATTCGATTGAGTTCTCTAAGGAAATAAGAATCAAATTTTCAACAAGAAGATAACAGCATTTAAAGGCGTACATTATAAAGTATTGTAATCAATATAAGAAATCAAAGAAGAACATACCTTTGGGTTTTCTTGTACAGATTATAGTGACTCCCAATAGGATTACAACAAAGACAAGGGCCGCTATAACAGAGAAAAGAATAGGAATTTCCAACTCTTTTTTGTGGTTGCATGGAGGTGACCAACAGAGTCCTGGATTGCCTTCCATACTGAATAAAGGAAAAAGAAAACCAAATTAACCAGAGAAAGAAAGGTGTAGTTTTGTATTGACTTTAACTTTTCAAAAGACGAAGTGACCTTAAAATTAAGGTTCCATCCTTTGACTTTTGAAGAAGAGTGTCAGGTACGACGCCGGTGAGTTTATTCCCACTTAAATTTCTGGAAGGAGAAGTACTAACAATCGTTAACACATTGTATTATTTTAGGATAAGATGTTCTTAATAATACTAAATGTATTCTATTATATTGACAGATTTCTTGTGATGAGATGTTATACAGAAGTCGCAGCTGTGGCAATAGCACCAAGAATTCTGGTACTGCCCCCTCCAACTCATTGTAGGATAGATCTCTGAGAAACAAGAACTCAATTAAAACACCTTCATAATATTATGGCTTAATCTTTCAAAGCAAAAACGAAGATCAGAAAAGAAAAATACTTACAAATAGTTGATGGCAGTGAGCATGGAGAAGGAGGATGGGATATCTCCAGTTAAGTTGCTTCTGCTCAGGTTACTGCAAAAGTAGATTGGGAATTGTTTTGAATACATCACATAGTGGAATTAGTGAATTGCTGAAGGAGAGGAGAGGCTTTTGGTTGAGAAATTATACAGTGAAATGATTCTTGCCCATGGTTGGACATTGTTGCAATTCAAACCCTCCCATGAGAACTCTGGTGGGCTACAAGGATCACCTTCCCAATTTCTACTAAGCTTGTAATGTTGCTTGATATCACTTATTGCGTTCACTGTGAGTAGTATTAGTTGAAGATGTATTGGTAATATTCGAGGGTAAGAAGAAGAAGAAGAAAGAAGAGAACTTACAATCCTGCAAGAAGGTAAATGGATTTGGAGTGTCCATGGCGTACAAAATCTCGTACCCGTTGAGGATGGGAGGGAGGCTAGAGATGGATGTAACAGAAATGGAAAATTTAACCTGCTGGCCGTAATTCACATCTAAGCCTTTTGTGCAAACTGTGTGTGGTTTGAGATATTGGAGTTGAATGGACTGTGTGATGGTTTGGACATCGTTGAACACAATCTTCATATCCCGAAACTTCCCGGCTTCATGCTTCTCGATCTCCGCAAAATGAAAGCAAACATATAATCTATAACTTCTATAGGCTGTCCCTAATCCAAGTGGAAAACTTGAACCGTTGGCACGACACGCTGTCTGTAACATCAACATTGGCAACTTGTATGGATCATCATCGTTATCATTAGTATTATTGCTCCCAGCAATTACAGCTTTTGTGGTCACTAAGCTCGTATTGTTTTGGCAATTGTAACCGCTCCAGATCCGATCATACACATCGTTCGGGTATCTGCAAGCATGAATTACCATTACCTACAATAATACATGAAAAAAACTGACAAATTCTTCTTTCTTTTGCAGAAAAAATAGTTGCAGGACATGATGCATTCAAGTATGGTTCATAAAGCAACGAATGTGAAGCCTAATTACGTGATTTGGTTGGTGCCTCCGACATCGAATCGGTTCATAAGGACCAAGAATTTTGCAGCGTCAATGGGATCAAGTCGATAAAGAGAGACGTCGAGAGGTCGTAATATCAAAGCGGAAATGTAGGGAACTCCAGAATTTGTGTTAACCAAACAGACGTCGATGTAATCCGAGGAAGGATCAGGGAGGGTAATAGCCTCCATACATAGGCTGTCAAGCTTCACTGTTCCCCACAAGTTGACGCCGAGGTGAAGGTCAAAAGTGGGGATGGAGTTTAACCCATCATAATTGCCATACACAAAGGAAGCTCTGATGAGATATTTAGTCATTTTGGGTGCCTCTGTTTTTAGACGGTAGCAGTTCCTTGTGCCATTTGGAAAGCTTCTTAAGCTCCAGTATATAGGTCCCCAACGTGGACGAAATTCTGCTAATATTTGGTTGCTCATTCCGGATCCTATCATATCTTTGTCTGTTTTATAAACCAACCCATCCCATTCGTTTACCATATCTTCGAATCCGCCGCAGTCGATACTAATGAAACCTATCATTTCAAAATTCAAACAATTACAAACTTTGATTTCTTTCTTAAAACTACTTACACATTCTCGAGTTTAAGGATCGCTCAAGATCCATTGAAGCATTACCATTTTGAAAATTAATATGAGTTTTAGATATTATCTACATTCCAAATTTATTTAACGCTTCTTATCCGCTCTCTCGTATTTAAGAGTTAGGTGGGATTTAAAAAAATATATATTTTGAAATACGTTAGACTCGCTTCACAAAAATTGAAACAAAAATCGAGATAGAAAATAAAATAATCGAGATAGAGAATAAAATATGAGATCAACAATATTATCAGTCTTAAGTCCAAAATATAGCAATTCCAAGAAGATCACTTTATGAATATTTTATCACAAAACATTACTTTTATGTCCCTTTGACTTTTCTCAAAAGCAGTTGTAAGTTAATTTTCAAGTAGTGTTTCATTAACCAATCAGAAAGTGCTTTTAAACCAAAGTATAATAATAATAATAATAATAATAATAATAATAATAATAATAATAATAATAATAATAATAATAATAATAATAATAATAAGGGTATATTTAAAAGTAATTTTTTATATAATAAAATTATCAAAATGATTAATTTGTGAGTGATTTATTGAATATTTGGTTCTATACTTTTTAAAAATGATTTTCTATCTATAAGGTGATCTTGTATCATTAAAGATTTGAAAATGATTTTAGACTACTATTTTAAGCTTAACTTATTATAATTATAATTAGTTATTTTATTATTTAATTATATACTTAATAAAGATTTTGATTTAAATAAAATGTTTTTTTTTAATGATTAGTGTTTGTTTTCAAAAATTATTTTAGAATAAAAATTAAAAAATTAAAAAATAAAACTATAAAAAAAAAAAAAAAAAAATGAAAGGCCGGAGATTGCGAGGGACAAATTTTAGACTGGACAAAAAAAAAACTAAATGGGAGAATTTTGATAGAGAGAGTGAAAATTTTGATAAAAGGCATAAATAAATAAATTTTGGTACATGAAAGTGATGAATAAGAATGGAAGGGTATTCTATTCTATAAAGCCAAAATGGCACACATCAATCAAAATTGCCTATCAAAAACACAACTTTTTCCTAATGCATTTTGTATTTAAAATATTATAATCATCTGACACGTGTCAGTAATTAACTATGAGCGAACCATAGTTAGTGCCAATGGTTACTAACGGTGGGCACGACCCCAAGAGAAATAAAGATAGCATGAGAATATCTAAATCATTTTAGTATATCCTTAAAAAAAGAACGAGCTACTTCCATCAACCTCCCTTCCAATCTTGTAGGAATGTATATATATATATATAGGTCTTCTTCAATCGATATCCAATGGTTGGCTCAAAGCGATGACTTAGGAGTCTTCCGACTTAGAAAAATCTTATCATGTTTTTGTCTGATTCGCTTTCTGCATATGTACTACATTCATACTAATAAAACCTGTAATTTTGAGATTTAAAACAATTACTAAACTTCTTGGTGTTTGATATATTTAATTTTTTAAAAATAGAAAACAAAAATAAAATGGTTATTAAATAAAATCAAAGATTTTATTGAATAAGGTTGTTTTTTTTTTTTATATAAATTTTGATCTTATCTTATACGATCCTTACATGAAAGTGATGAATAATACTAAGGAATGGTAGAAAAATCGAGGTCGTTAATAGTTGCAGATGAAGGTTGTCGCTTGTAAAATTTGGTTTCAATTGTTTAATAATAATGTAGGTCGAGCAACATTAAACTTCCCCCAACAAAAACGGTACTAATTCCATCAAGCTCAATTTGACACGGTACGAAGACTATTTGGGCAACGAACATAGACTCAACTCCAAAATTGACCTTTCAATCTTTCATTAATGTTTCAATGTCAAATGTTGAATAAGTTGTATGGGCCTTCTTCTTGCTCATGCCAACTCCCAAAGAAGTTATTTCAAAGTGATGAAAACGTTCTGATCTAACCTAAAGGCTACAACATAAATGAGAATGTGACTGTCCTAACTTCATTTCCATGGTCTTCATCATGTTGTTATCCGTACAAGGTTTTCTTACCTTTACCTGTAAAAGAAATAGCACGTGGCTTGAATATTTAAAGAAATACAAAATAAATAACCCCTCTATTTGAATCGAGAAATGCAATCACATGCAACCATGGTAGGACCTATCTTTTTATAAATTTATTGTGGGCTTGTACTCTACTCTCCATTATGGGTGAAGTTAGTTGTATAGTAAGACCCATGACCCATGCATGTGCACATGGACCTACCAAGCGGGCTTGTGTACATCCTCTTTCGGCATACCCTTCGGCTAGTGCACGCTCACGTTGCTAGAGTTCTTATGAGACATGCATTCGTATACTGGGAAAGGAATGAACTTTTCATTCTTGTAGCGCAAGCATTGAAAACCGTTTTAATTTTATTAAGAATTAAAATAAAGCAATTAATATGCGAGCAAAACCGTTACCTTTATACAAACGGTAAGTTGCAAGTAAAAGTTCTTCGACAAAGTTTTTCTCATTAAGACTCAACAAAAGATCAAAACTTGTGGGACCCTAAAAGAATCACTAACCAACTTCCCTCAATATTTGTTGGTTAGAAATGAGACTCACATAATAGTATGCACAAGTTCTCATGACTTTGTTTTGGCCTTCTGCAAAAGAATTATGGAGTCCTTGAACAGCCTCCCCTTTAATTAAGGTTCAATTCTTTCTATGGAGCCTTCGAACAAAATACACCATTTATTTGACACTTTAGACTATACTTTCGAGACTCACAATTCTTTATTCTTGAGAATTCTATTGACATGGCTAAGTTAAGGGCATGATTCTAATACCATGTCAGGAACCACGACCCTCCACAATGGTATGATATTGTCCACTTTGAGAAAAAGCTCTCATGGCTATACTTTGGGATTCCCAAAAAGCCGTGTACCAATGAAGATGTATTCCTTGCATATAAACCTATAATCATTCCCTAAATTAGCTAATGTGGGACTCTCTCCCAACAACATTCAACAATCTTCCTCTTGAACAAATTACACTATAGAGCCTCCCTCGAGGCCTATGGGGCCCTCAAATAGTGTCCCCTTAATCGAGGCTCAGAGCCAAACTTAGCTATGTGAATAGAATTCTAAAATGTCGAACAAAAAAGTTGTGAGGCTCAAAAGTGTAGTCAAAAGTGGCTCAAATGTCGAGCAAATGGTGTAGTTTGTTCGAGGACTCTAGAGAAGAAGTCGAGCCTCGATTAAGGGAGAAGCTATTCGAGGGCTTCATAGGCCTCGGGAGAGACTATGTAGTGTACTTTGTTTAGGAAGAAGATTGTTGAGGATTATTGAAAGAGAATTCTGCATTGGCTAATTTAGAGAATGGGTAAAGCATATTTGCATATTTTTAAAATCTTTTCCTCAAGAAATTCATTATTCCCGCGATAATTTTTTTTTTTTTTCCATTGTTTTATTTTAAAAGAAAATAAATCCAACCAAACAAGAACTATGAAGTCTAAAGGGGTAAATTTGCTACATAAATTTTGATTTAAAAATCTTGAATATCCTAATAAAAATAATAATACTGAAAACGATAATTTTTTAAAGTTTAATTTTCAATATTACAACACATACTTTTTAATTTAAATATTAAAATATATACAATTAAATACAAACATCACCATTTTAAATATAATACTTTAAATATACATATATACACGCACTGTACAAAAAAAATAAATAATTAAATAATTTAAAAAAAAAATAATAAAAAAAATAAAGATAAAAACAGGAGAGGAACATGGCAAGAATTTAATCTCTAGCTGTCCCTCGTTTACTATCGAAGATTATTGAGACGAATAGTCCGACATTATTTACTTAATAGGAAAATCATGTGTTTGTAAGTAAGAAGCATTGTTCAGTGCTATTAGGATTTTTTGGAGAACCAAAAACAAAGTCATAAGAGTCTATGTTAAAAGTGAACAATATCATATCATTGTCAAGATTTGTTATTCTGAATATGGTATTAGAGACGTACCTTAACTTATTCATGTCAATAGAATTCTTGAGTATCAAACAAATAAATTGTGAGCCTCAATTAACGAGAGGTTGTTCGAGAGGTCCAAAGAAAATCTCCCGTGTTGAACAAAGAAGTTGTGAATCTCGATAGTGTAGTCAAAGGTGACTCAAGTGTCGAATAAATGATGTCCTTCATCTGAGAGCTCCAAAGGAGGCATCGGAGGAGGCTCTGAACAAAGAGTGTACTTTGTTCGAGAGCTCCAGAGAAGGCCTTAAGAGAGACCCTGAACAAAGGGTGTACTTTGTGTTGGCTTTTTCACATTAATCTCAAATTAATTAATTAATTAATTGATGTTTTGATGATAACAAACTTACCTTCAATTATTAACAATTCTCAGTATTTTGTTTACAGAGTAAGGTTGGGAATAACGATTGCAACGTCTTTTTTGGTTCACTCAAATTAGAGATAAAACGAAAGAGTTCCAGTCTAAACAAGATACCCGGCGTGATGATGTGGCGGCAAAATTGACATCATAGATCAATCGAATTCAAAACAAGATACCTGAATTGATGATGTGGTGACAAAATTAACATCATGAACCAGTGGCAAAATTGACATCATAAATCAATCGAAGTATGACATTTATGATGGAGGATTTGAATTATAAAATCATTTCAATTACATTTATAATTATTTTAATTAGATTTATAAAAATTTTCAATTAGGTATTAACATTTTTTTTTATTATATTATATTTTTAATATATATATATATATAATATATATATAATGAATTTAAAATATTTTTAATATTTATTTAAAATAATATAAGAATTATAAAATCATTTCAATTACATTTATAATGATTTCAATTAAATTTATAAAATTACTCACATTATTTTCATTAACATTTTTTTAATTATATTATTACATTTAAATATGTTATATATATATAATAAAAATGAATTTAAAATGTTTTTAATATTTATTTAAAATAATATATATATATATATATATAAATGAAACATGTGGTCTATAATTTTTTACGATAAATTTAAAAATAAATAAATATTATTTTTCGCGTCCACGTTTTAGTGGTCCGTATCAATTTCTATTTTTACAATTTGATTACTATTTAAACTATCCTCTCTTAGTACTTTAAAAAAAAATAAAACACAGATCAAAAAAAATTTTGAAACCCTACGGGGGTTGCTCTCTCGAAAGCTTTCAAAAGCTTCCAATTCTATTTCTTTTCTTTTTTATCTTATTATTGAGAGAGTTGTCTATTGTATTATGAGGAAAATTGTAGAGAGAAAAATTGTAGAGTTGTACATTGTATTATGAGAAAATTGTAAATCTATTACTCCAGAGAGTTGTGGTGTGTTTCTATAAGATTTCAGACAATTGTATCGTTTGATCCTGAGCCGTGGAAAGGATTGAGTTTGCTCTTGAACTCGCAAAAAGAGCGGTGTACCGATTTGATCCTGAGCCGTGGAAATGATTGAGTTTGCTCTTGAACTCGTAAAAGGAGCAGTGTAGTGGTTGAGCTCTGATCCGAGGAAAGAGTGAGAAAGTTTTATTCAAATTCACAAGAGGCGATTGTGGAGTTGACCGAACCACTCTAAAACTAAGTTGTTATATTTTCTAACCCTTTCCTTACTTCTTCTTATTATTATTATTATTATTATTTTTTTTTTCATGTTATAAATTTTATTGTTATTAAAAAATAATAATAATAATTACATTGTTGAAACCCTATTTGTAACGTATTAAAAAAAAAAAAAACTCAGCCCATTATAGGGGTCTTGAAGGTCCTCCACAGAATTCCTGCAAAAGAAGGAAGGGTGAGAGAGAAGGATTGAGAGAAAGTTTGAGAGAGAAAATTGAAAGGAGTCTTTCGTCGAAGAATCGCCGACGGAATCCATTTCCTACTAAGACCAGCACTCTAGAGTTCTTTTTGGAGTGAAGTGAGAATTCGTGTTGAGATTTCCTCCTCTTTCGTCAAGATTAGAAGGAAAACCCGCAAGGGAAGATCCGTCGCTAATTTTGGTGAAGAAATCGGATGAAACTCGAGATCTAAGAATTTTTCCAAGAACTGAGGAGAGAGAAGTCATCGGCGTGCCACGTGTCAAACATCTAGAGGGCCGCGTGCGCCAATCACCTTCAGACATGCGTCGAACGCCGCCTGGGAAAACGCGGCTCCAACCTCCTTGCGACACGCGTCCACGGCAACACAACCCGACCAGCGACTGCAGAAAACCCTGGGCGCGTGGTACTCGCGCGTGGAACCCGCAAGTTGTTGTACCCCGACGCGTGGCTGGCGCGTGTAAACTTATTTTCGACCCGTTCGACTTCTTTTTTCCCTATTTTTCCCCTGATTCCAATCCTAAACCCATTTATATGAATAGGACCTAATTGAGGAAAAATTACCATCTTCCGATACGCCAAGTGTGTAGAAACGCTGCGTAAGGGCACGCGCCATCCAGGTAAGTCACCACACGGAATTTTAGGAAGTAATACTTGTACGAATCGCTTGGAATGCATGCATGCTAGTTTGAATACCTTAGGTTGTAGCTTTCCGTTAATGATCGTAGGTAATAAATTATTGGAAGTAAGATGTAAGTTGTGATTTGTTATGAGAGTTACTTGGGTACTGCTAATATGCTTTTAGATTCCCACTTATTATGCCTATATATATGTTCATGCTGAATGGAGGATGGGAAATTGCGAACTCTGCGCTCCGGGAGTTCATGGATGTTATCACCACGTTGAGCTTGTATGTTTACTTTGCATGAAATGTGTTTGATGATTTTGGATCATAGTTATGTACGTACTCAGTTAATTTTTATGACTCGCGAATATGAATAAGTCTAGGGACTCTTGGTTAGAGTAACCAGGTACTAAGGTATTAGATCTAATCCTTTCCCTAGTAGAGCAACAGACCACCACGGTGTATGAAGCCCACTAGGATACCCTTAGGCTACTGGTGTGTGATTGGTGTCATAGCTTCGTGGGGAAACAGGGGGTTCTTGATCAGAATCCGCCTATTCTTAGCCGTTTTAGCATGGGAAACGTGTGCCCACGTCGTATAGACCATTTAGCTGGATGGGTTAAGGGGGATAGCTCTCCCCGACCAGGGGGACTGTCATGGGCCTAGGGGGTTGCAGCTCACTTCCTAGGTAAGATATCAAATAGTCTCAGAGCCATGCCGAGGTAGCTACTCGTAGGGCACCAGTCATTACACAGGACAGCATAAGGGAGTTCTTAAAAATCTTTTAATGATAGGGGCAAGTCCCAAGACGAAAACCAGATGCCCTTGAGCTAATGTAGAGTTTCGTGGAAGTTTATTAAGATTAGGATGCGGTAAGAGCCTACAAGTACGTGGCTTAATGAATATAATTCTTATACTCATTCTTGCTATAGCTTTTTTTTTCCAGGTACATGAGGCGTCGAGTCAAGAGAGGGCACGTTGATCGATGTGGGTTGTCACAGAGGAAGCGTGTATCCCAGGGCGTCAGTCTAGTCTTACTAAATAGAACACTTTGTCTTTCATGTTTTCCTTCTTTTCTTGTTTTACCTATGCACATGTGTCCTTTTAGTAAAGAAACATTTTTCTGTTGAAATAAATGTATTTTCGTGAATTTCTCATTTATACATTACATGTCATAATTCATGTTAGTATTATGTATTTCGGGTCGTGACACTATTCACCCCTCTAGGGTTGTCATATCAATCCAACACTTTGTTCGAAGGGATGATTGATGAAGATTAGCAAAAAAGGTAATCCCACATTGACTAATTAAAAGAAAAATCATGAGTTTATATGTAACACTATCCCCATACTATCCCCACCATGTAACACTATCTCCATACTATCCCCACCGTCACTGGTATGAGGCCATTTGGAAAAACCAAAAACAAAATCACGATAACTTATACTTAAAATAGACAATATTATATCAAACGAGAGGTTCATCACTAACACAGCCTAGAAGAAAGATAAATTTGCCGCCTATCCAGCTCTCTGGATTGATAACATTTCATATGCTTAACAAAAAAAAATACATCAACTTCAGAGATCCACATTAGATACCACAGTTTCACTCTTCAAAAGCTTTTAGTTGGATTACTCATCTTTTCCATGAGGGAAAAAAATGGAAATAAACCAACGCAGTAAGCAACGAAGTGAGAGTGTCCAATATATACAACTTAGTCGAGATAATTAATTCCTAACTAAAATCTGGTTTGATCAGTTCAATATGTTCATTTCGAACTTCAAATCTGAATCAAGGCCATCAAAGCTTTACAGTTTACAACTTTTAGCACTTCATTAGGTACAATTCAACTGGATTACAAGTTGAAATAATGACTATGGTCTCGAAGTTTATCAGAGGATATATATATATATATCTATAAGAAGTCTGTCATCGACTATACAATGTATTTACAGACGCAATTTGGCATACGTTTGGCACAAACAGTAACAAAGATTAACAATGGGTTGCGGGAGACTGATAAAGACAATAATAAACAAGGAGAGAGAGCAGGAAACTGCATACTTTTGTGGGTGTCACCCAAATGTGTTCTCTCCACTGTACGTAACATAGAGAAAGCCATCCTCATCCTTCCTCTCATCGTAGATTGCAGACATGAGAGACCCTGTAAAATCAGAAGCATGAAATCAATAATTAGAGATGTTTCTGATGTCTCTCGTTTGAAAGTGTCGATACAAAAACTCTGCGTCATGTATACAGCAAAGAAGAGATTGCTGTCACTAAAGTAAGCAAAGATAGTAGAGACTTTTGAAATTGAGTCCCAAGGAACCCAAATGTCCATCCTTTTCCATTGGTTCCCAATGCTTAAATACAAAAATATGAGAAACAACTCCTAGACTACAGAAATACTTAACATCTAAAACCTATGACAAGTAAGAAACCCACGTTACAGCTGAGAGAATATACGCATTTTTAGTATTTTCCAGCTCATTTATTGTTTATAGTTTCCCCTTAAACATCACGCACATGTTGACAATCCATATATACAACGTTGGCCTCTGTTCAATGTGTTTTGAGCGAGGCATTCTCACACCCCAAATCCTGTCTGCTCCTTACATCCTCCATAACAAAAGTGGCACAAGGTAGTGTGCCAATTGGGTAAAAGAATGATAGGCAGATCAAAAGATCGAGTTAAAAATGAATTTCACCTGCCAACTATTTGTTTTTTTTTTGGGCCTTCTTCCTTACTTTATCCAACTTGTAACTCATTTGTGTCATGTTTCACCAAATCATCATCAGTCATCAACACACTAATCCGCAATGTGAAAATATTTAAATTAACGATACTAATGATGAGAACTTAATAGAATGAAAATGAATTAAAAAGAAAATTGGAGTTTTAAGGACTAAATAGATACACAACCATTAAAGTTAAAACCAATTAGTTATGACATAATTTGCCTAATAAAATGATAAATATGATGATAACAATACCACAGAAAAAACGGTCAAGACTGAGAATGAAGTTAAATGAATCGGGACAATTCATGGATCTCATCTATTAATCAATTTTATGCTTCTAGGTAAAGATATTAAGAAAAAAAAACGAAAGATTATCCATCCTATTAAACAGAACGATCCTGATTTTCCATTTTCAACAGATCTTGACCTAAAAAGAAAAAGGGTGGTTAACCTGTTGGCGGTAGCACATTGTCCACGAATATGAAAATTGCTTTTTCTGCACTCAGTTTTATTCTCTTCCGAATAACATAAACGAACTGACCAACAGTCAGGTCAGCAGGCACTAAATACCTGCGAAAAAATTGTATTCAGGTTATTAAGAAACTGAAAACCTCTCTTTGTTAAGTTTGAAAATCAAGCACTAAAAATTGGATATTAAAGCTACAACCAAAGCCTTGTTGCAATTACAGTGCAAGAAATGAGAAGAATAAATTCCTAAACCATTCAATCAATGCACTGCTTGGAAGGTCGACAAGAGTTATCAGCATCTTTCTACAATTATACTGTCCTAATTACATAACCAGCATTACTCCCATTAAAGGACTATGGAAAAAGAAATGGGAGGGAGGAAGAAATATGAGATGCGGAAGAAGCACTTATGAATAAGAGAGTAAGTTTGTCTATAAAATGAAAAGGCTTCAATGTTAAGGAACTTTTTTTTTTCCCCCTTTTTATCATTTGTTAATAAAAAATGTAAAGAAACTAATGTAAAACTGCTAAAAGTAAACTCTCTTACTTTTTTTTGTCAATGTTGGGAATATCACTTCTCTCTGCCTTCTCCACAATTACCTGATCAACACAAAAGAGAATGATACTAACAAGAAGAAAACATGAAACCATAACGACATGAGAGAGAAATTTGAAAAATAAAGAATGCATCCCAGAACAGCATGAAAAATAAAAACGTGTAGTAGTACTGTTTATATCATGAACATTTTGATTGGCATGTATATGTAATTGAAGATAAAGAAAGTTTCAGTAAATATACTATTCTTTAGCAACTGCTCATTGACTTCAGGCTTCTATGACTAGGGACCCTTAAAATTGCCCTCAAGCTTTCATTCTTTCAGATGGGAGCTTTTTTTTTTTTTTTTTTTTTTTTGACAGGTCTGAAAGGTTAATTTCTCAATAATAAAAAAAAAAAAGATTAATAATAGTAATAATAATAACAATAATATATAAGAATATAGAAACATGAAAGATGATCCTTGCATAACTGGATCCCCTTTCACTAATCTCTCACTGTCAACTATCTCATATTTGAAAAAACAAATTGGGTGAGCAGGAATGAAATCATAAAAATTCACGGGGTGAAAGATAGTAATACAGTATTCAATACGGCGACGCCATTAATGAAAATTTTCCATAGCAAGACGTACCTTATATAGCATCTAAACATGCATGCTCAACGAGTCGAGATAGAAATAGTATCGACAACTAATCTTTACTTTACAACCAAAATTTATGTATTACATAGCTCTTCTTTCCGGACAGATGTTAAGCTTAAGATAATAAGAGAGGTCAAGCAAGCAATGTTCATAAATGGAATATGCCAGGAATGGATAGGAAAGAGAGTCAATAAGCATAAGCCATTAATAGCAATCGTGAAATTGTTTTGATCCGTTGAGAAAAATATCATTTGACATGAATATAAATACTCACACATAAATACATATAAACTGACAGACAAAGAATGACATATTGCGCAGTTAAAGGTCAAATAAACCTTATTTCAGTACATAAAAAGCATGAATATCCAATTTGAAAATATATATCCAGAACAACAAAAAAATAAAGCTCAAGAAAAGTCATAAATCTTACTGGAATTCTGTCTGGGTACTTCTCTCTAATCCGGGCAGCCTCAGCGTGTCTCTTTTCTGCAAAAAAATGAACAAATCAAAGAATCAGAACAATTCAAAGATGATTCTAATTTGAAAAACTAATAAAAATACAGGATTCCATAAGAAAGCTCAAGAATATACCAAAATCATGCTCTTGCTTGAACGAGCTCGTAGACATTATAGTCACGAAAAAACTGAGAGAGAGAGAGAGATTGAACTAACAATCAGTCGTAATCCATATTATATTCATAACTGAACCAATAAAACTCATAGACCGAAGCTGGAATCACAAATTTTAAGACAATAATCAATACCATAAGCCACTATTTTAGGAATTGAAGCATAGAACAGAAATAAAACAAAGACAAGTAGCGCAATATCTCCAAGTTCGGAATAGTAATCGATCAAGCCAACAATCCACGAATTTAGTCAACTAAGATTAAACACAAAATCGAATCATCGGTAAAGAAATACGAACCTGAGAGTCGCCGGCAGGGAAGGAGGAGACCAAAACTGAAGTTTCGTTCGATTTCTTGGCTGAAATCTGTATCTCCGGCAAGCAAGCGAAAAAATCAAAAGCGAAAAATCGAGAGAAAATGAGATGAAGTCGGGAATTGCGATGCTAATCTGTTGAAATTATCAAAAAGTTGTGTGTTGACAAAAGTGAATTGGAATTTGTACGCTCTTTTAATGGCAATCAGATAAGACGGGATGATCACGGGATGACTCAGCTTCTGTTCAAAGCTTCCACCTATTTTTTGTAATCATTTTTTTTCTTCCAAAAAAACAAAGTTTGACAATTTTACGAAAATGTCCATAATATTTTTATAGAATTTTAAAAAATAAAAATAAAAATTTTAATTTTAATTTTTTATTAAATAAATTTACATTATTATTATTTACAGCATTTCGTTGTTTTTTCATAATGTCGTTACAATATTTATTAATGATGTTCACGTGTCAGATTGAGACATTTTTAGATCTAAATCAATGGTTCAAGTTGTTTGGTCATTTACTCAATTTTTTAAAATCAAAGTAATAAGTTAGTTGGTTAAATATTTATATATTTTAAAATTTTTAATTAAAATTTACCATTCAATTCTAATATATATATTTTTTAAAAAAATTATCTTTTAAATAGGGTTAAAAAATAAATAAATAAATAAAATTAGTAATAAGTTTAAAGTGGGTTAGGTTAACTCAATCCAACTTAAATAAATTCATAATTAAAAAAAAAAGATAATTTTTCATTTTTCAATATAATTTAGGGTCGAAGTAGAGTTGGAGAGGAGAATATAATGTATGTGTATGTATAGTAAGGTGGGTCGAGCGGAGTTGAGAGGGGAATATGATCTGTCATATTCGCTCGTTTTTTTTTATTTAAATGGGGATTCTCAACAGAAAATCTTCTCCAAGTTCGACTTAGGGTAGAGTCGGACGGTATAGGTTAGATATGTAATTATATGTTTTTAATAAGACCGAAATAGGATGAAATTAATATTTTTTTTAAGTAGTTAATTTATATTAAATAAAAGGGTGAGTTGATAAACATAGAGACAATTGTCAAATTTGTTCTATGATCAACCAGCCGTTCACATGCACATGTCCCCAGCATTTATTTAGATAACATTTCATCATATTTCTATATATTTTTTCTATTATATAATAATTTGACCACATTTAATATTACCATTTTATTTGTTTTTATTAATTTAATATAATTTTTAAGAAAAAGAGTGCGGCTAAAAGGGGAGAGAATCTTTTCTCTTTTTATTTATTTATTTAATTATTTATAATATATTTAAATATTGTTTTGATCATGTCGTTTTTTTTAAATGAACCATTCGGAAATTTCAAGAGAAAATAATATTTTAATTTATTAAATGATCAACAATAAAAGTTCAAAAACATTGATTATTCAATAAATAAATAAATATATATATATATATATATATACCCATTTAATTATTTCTGTCTTTACTTTCTTTAATATTGAAATAAAAAATCAATATATTTCCAAGCAAATAATAATAATAATAATAAAAATAAATAAATAAACCAAGATTCCAAAATTCATTGAATGAAACAAAGACTTAGAATTATGAGAGGAAAAAAAATAAAAATAAAAATGGTTAAATTTAATATTCAATAATTTTTCCAAGATGGTGGTTGAAGTTGAATATACTTGGGGGAGAAGCAAACCAAAACAGTCGAATTATTAAAAGTCGCCGACTTGGGCACCACGGCAGCCGCTACCCCTGAGCAGCCCACCGCACCCCACGGGCCACTTGGTATAAGAAGTCTTACAACTCTGCTGGGCCAAGGCAGAGGAATTATTATATAGCGCATGAAAATGGTGAGTGTCAGGCCAGCACTTGTGTTTGTAGCAGGAGCCATGTTTGGTTCGCTGCTGACACGAGGCTTTCGCCGCTGCGGCCACCACCAGCAGCAGCAGCTCCGCCGCTGCTTCAGCCGTGGTGGTGAACGGAGTTTGAAGAAGCAAGCAAGTGGGGGAGAGATTAAGAGTGTTGATTAATTAGCTTTGCTTTCGAGTTTGTGACATTATTATGTTTTTGTAATTGAATATTTTTGTGTTGCTTTGTGTATTTTGTAATAGTGGCGATGTTGCTGTAATTGGAATAAGGTTAAATATAAATGAAGGGTTAATGCCTTGTATTTGCTACGCTCGTTTGTTTCAAGTGATTTAAGATCGGCATCTAAACCCATGTTTATTTTGACGGGTTAATGCCTTGTATTTGTATTATATATAGTCTATCACGCCACATAGGTACTGCACTATGAATTCAAGTTTAGAGACCTATTAGAAGCAACTTTAAATGTTCGTATATTTTACGAAGAACACAAGAACTTAAAAGATTTCTACAAGTAGCAAATGGAAACCAGGTAGAGATGAAGAAGAAAAGCAGCTAAAATGAATCCATTCCAAAAGTACTCTTTGAAAAACAACTTATCCAGAGTCAACTTAGAAAAATGTTTTGAACCCACCACTTAAGGTGGTTTGTTAAATTCTGGACAGAAACACAGATAATAGCAGCAAAATGCAGTAACACAAGGGGAATGCCTGACTTGCCTCTATGTTTTCTTCACCAAGTAACCGATCAGAACTCCGATGAGACCGATTAGCACCACGAACAATACAGAGAACCCTCCACCCTGCCTTCCGCTTGTTTCTTTCTTCAGAAGTTCCTGTCAAAACAAATATTCAAAAACCATAGTAAGTAACAACATGGGTAAAATTTCCATTTACATTTTGACCCTAATCATTCATTCATGATTGAATGCAAATAATATCCAGATACCAAAAATCAAAGCATGACCCAGTTCTTGCTCCTTGTGGAAGAATATAACCTTTTAAAAAGAGCCCCTACAGTACTATTGTAACGGCCCAAGCCCACCGCTAGCAGATATTGTCTTCTTTAGGCTTCTCCTTTCGGGCTTCCCCTCAAGGTTTTTAAAACCCGTTTGCTAGAGAGAGGTTTACACACCTTCATAAAAAAAATGTTTTGTTTACCTCTCCAACAAATGTGGGATTTCACAATTCACCCTATTTCGAGACCCAGCGTTCTCGCTGGCACTCATTCCCCACTTCAATCGACGTGGGATCTCACAATTAACTTACAATTAACTTAAATAGATGATGAGTATTGAGAAAGTAGAAATTTAGCAATATAACAAGTCGAAAATGGGTATTCTTTTTAATGCTCAAGGAATTAAATGGACCAAACTGAAACAAATCCGAAAATTCATCGATCAAGATGAGATTTAAACCAAATTTGTTTCAATCAAGTAAACAACTTTAACAATTTTTTAAATACACTCGAATAAAGTGTTGACACAAATGAAGAAAAAGGTTCCTAGAAAAAACTAAAAGAGGTGTAGTCAATAGAGGTTTGGGAGAAAAACAACTATCGTTACTTGGACTCGTACATACATGCATACAAGGGTGCACTAAAATAAAGTATGTAAAAAACAATGAAGGTCAATATGAGTCATGCACTTATAACTAAGCTATTTACAATATAGACTAATATCAAGCATCAGACTACGTAGAATACACGAAGCTCGAATATAAAGAAAATAAAATGCGATCCAAAAATAAATTACCAGCTCCTGGCGTAGTTTCTGATTCTGTTGCAAAGCAGCAGCTTTCTCTTCAGTCAACTTAGAAATGTTAGACGACACCTGCATCAATATTTGCATCATGGCATAGCTAAATTGACAAACAATACTTCCTACAAAATAAACAATAATGTCGCTCCTGGCCCCCATATCATCTCAATTGTGGATAACAATATTCAAAATTGGACAAGAAAAGGGAGAGTGCAGTCAACCACATCCTATACCCTGCATTATTTAAGTGTGAAGCTAAAAAACACAAATACTATTACGGATATAACACGACATGGATACGGTGACATAATTTTTAAAAAAGGACACAGACACGACAATGGTACGTTTATTAAAATATATATAATTTTTATACATGAAGAAAATTCAAAGTCAATAAGCTTGAAGTCATATGTATGGTACATGTTTAACAAATGCTGGACCTACATTGACTTTGTACTACTGGTGTCAAACACATCCGTTGTGCTAACAGAGGTTCAATATGTATCCAAAACGGGTTAGAGTATCTAAGTGTCAGACACGGACATGCTAGTCAAACTAAAGTGTCGGTATTTCTTGGTGGAGGGGGACGGCAAACAACAACACATACACAAATAGGACAGGACACTTCATTGTGACACAGAACCTTTAGAAAAAAAATATAATAAAAAAATAAGAAAGCATGAAGTCTAGAAGCTTGCTCTTCCTGAGATCTCAAACTAGGAAAAAAATCTCAATAATCAAGAGACAAAAGAATGGTTAATAGATTTCTTAGTGTTGCTAATTTTCCTCCGAACAAGTATATGGATAATAAATTCTAGAAGTCGAAAAAGTTTCCCTCAAGTCCAAGGTTTTAAATGTTGATGTCGATGAAAATCTCTAAGGTCTCAGTTTATAAAAAAAGTGTCATTGAATCGATAAACTGTTGTTTCTGGGAAAATTGTAACAAAAAATTATAAAAATATTCAAATTATCTAAGAAGCATTCCACAGTTTCTAAACGAGCTGAAGTTTACTATGTCTACATTAGTGTACTCCATAAGTGTTATTTTGCTAATGGTTTTTTTTCCTATGTTTCGTCACTTCCTTATGATATAATTAAAATATTCGACAAAAATTCAATACCTCGCTCATGCCTTAGTTGTTGATTAACCATTGTTCGTCATTTAAGAACATGTGTATGCTTGCGTGGTTGTAATAGTCACAGAAAGCTTAACACCTTTAGATAGAATTCAAAGAACCCAATCACTTGTCTAAGATCTTTGTTCCGCTGTGTGCTCACCAAAGAAGACAATCAATATTCTCGAATTTCCAACTCTGTCTCTGCTGTTATGACTAAAACACTTTTTATATACCCACTTTTCTTGGTGTAGCTCCCACCTTGCTAATAGATGCATCCAAACAAAGGCCAATCAATTTTTTAAGTTAGCTTCTTTCATCAATCTTTTAGAATATTTGGAAAGAAAGAAACTCTTGGATTTCCAAGGGAAAATAGGAAGACAGGACCAAATATAATCTCAACTATTTTGTTTCGCTGCTACCCCAGAGATTTCTAGTGAGTAACTCCTTAATTTTCCCCTTCATTCTAGTTAAAGGATAAAGCAGATGAAATACTTAGGCGTTTGTATAGAAGCAAGAGAAGAATATATTACCTGAGATGATATCTCTTTAGGCTCATCCAGAGATCTCGAAACCTAAAGTTTAACAACAAATTGAATTAAAATATAGGTGGAAAAGAAAGGATAATAAAGATAACAATCTAGAAAACATTTACAGCATCAAACAATGCAAAATTTTGGTTCCCATCTTCAACTGCATTGGTCCTGGAAGGGGATCCTTCTTCAGATCCTTCCGGGACAGGCGACGGAGGATTTGCAAAAATGTAAACGACCCTCATCTTAAAGTCATCTACCACCTTACCATCTCCCTTGTTAAACTACAATTCAAAGATGTAAAACATAAGCAAAAACGTAAGATAATTGTCGAGTCAAAAAAATTATTCAACTAATGGAAGCAGAAACAGGACATTCCCACCAATTCTGCACTAATGTCCTTTGCTGTTGTACCATCTGGTGCTATAGCACTTTGAATTAGGAACTTATCCTTGCATTGCATATCAGAAGGCATCTCCTTTGGAGCTTGCATGGTAACTAAAAAGATCAATAACAAATCAAACATCCAGCATGCAAAACTAGAAACCAGATACATAATGAAGTTAAAAATCGAAGAGTTGAATCGTATTTTTCAAATAGAGAGAAAAAAGAATCAACTATTTTCACATACTGATTTACCCGTAATATCGCTTATACTACTCGGCAAAATGATTCCAGCATTAGGACGAACACAGTACTTCTTCGGATTCGTGGTTTTAACCTGTTAAATTAGAATGATTGGTTTCAGAAAATGTAAACATTTCAAGATTATACCAATTATAAACAAAAAATGTGTACCTTGAAGGCCACATATTTGTCGGTTTTGTTTGTCAAGTGCAACGAACAAGAACTTTGCTTCTTCAGTTCAACTTTTCCATTAAATCAAGTAAATTATACAATTTACAAAAGTGAAAAGGGCGTAACAAATATCCAAAAATCATAATTAGATGAAATTGCAGCCATGATCAAGCTTCAAATGTTGGAGAAATCATAGCAAAATGTAGGGACAGATTTCAAATATAAGAAACTAACTCCTTCAATCAATTCAACCAGATATTTGCAATTCCTGATGAATAACAATGCAATTCTCTCTGGTAACTTTCTGAAACCTTAACAGATAACATCTCAACTAGACATATACGGTAATTAAACAAGTTTGGATCATCATAACATTCTAGGATTACTATATAAAAAGAAAATTCATCGAAAACCCATCATCTAAATATGATTTCCAACGCCCAAAGAGGCCAAACCATGATGATCAAAAACAAAATAAAAGTAAATATACAGCAATAAAGGGGAAAAAGAATCGAATACGATTCGTCAATTCTGGAAGTGCGCAAAAGTTGGAAAAAGAAATTGTTTCACCTTTTCAGCAATATTTGGAGACCTAAAAGCGAAAGTTGTAAAGAAACACAAAGGATCAGAGAGTGGAAAGGATAAACTCACATTGGAATTTGAGCTCGGAGGGTTGAATATTGATATAATCCCCAGAATTCATTTTTGTCGCCCTTGATCCCAGCAGCTTTCAGATTCCACCCAAACACACTCACTCGATCAGAATGATGGAGAAATATTGATGGATCTATAAATTAAGAAAAAACAAAAAGAGGGACCAGAGAAATTTCGGAACCAGCAACAGATACGAAACTGATTTTCATGCGATTAATTATTTTTGGGAGTTACAGAACTTTCATCATTTTGAATTAGTAGCTCCACATTTTTAATTATTTATTTTAAAAATGAAAATATCATGTTATTCCTAATAAAAATAAATAATTCGAACCATTCAAATCTCGTATGAACCCAATACTTCATGGATATAAGAGTTATTAAATTAAAAAAAAAAATTATAAAATAAGTCTCAGAAATGTTCTAACTAATAAGGTAGTTGCAAATCTTACCCACCTACCTCCATGCATTAATTATAAACTTAAGTCTTACCCACCAACTTTTCAATATATAGTTATTTATTGATACATTTCTTTAAAAGTTTGAAATTTTAAATAATAATTATTATTATTCTATTTTATGTAGTCGACCCTAAAATGATTGATTATTCAAGTGGTATGCTTAACCATATAAAGCTGAAACACGATTAAATTTGATTGTCTATGCTATTTGATGAAAGTCCTACGTCGGCTAATTTAAGGAATAATCATGGGTTTATAATCAAGGAATACAGTCTCAGTTGGTATGAGGTCTTTTGAAAAACCTCAAATCAAAACCATGAGAGCTTATACTCAGAGTGAGCAATATTATATCATTATGGAAAGTCGTGTTCGTCTAACATATGCTACTAATTTATTGTTCCATGTTCACGTTACCACGATTTTTACTATGCTCTAAAATTCATGTTATGTAGGAAGTTTTTAATATATATATAGATATATATATATATAGTAGAACCTAAACGCTACTTCGTCTTCCTCACCCGACAACACAAAAACGAAACCCTCGATTTTTTGACGTCATTTTCTAAAATTCGTTACCACTTGTTCATATAAATGATACCACAACACTCCTTTACTCCTAAATCAACATAGCCTTCACTAAAACTCCAAAACCCGGTCGATGCAAGCCCCACGGTTTCTCTCACTTATAATCTTGTATCCTCTCTTAGTTACTTGTGTAAGTTGAAGAGCCGATTCGACGCCTCGCCGAAAATCTCAAGATTTTCATCGAGGTTTGATTTTTTTTTTTTTAATCTAAAATCGGTACATTCTTCTTGTCTTCTTAAACCTATTATCGATTCTACCCAATGAAATAGGGCGTTAAAAGTCATCAAATCAACCACAATATTTGAGCTATTTCTCTTTACGACTCTAGGTTACATCAATTTATCGAAGGTTAGTTACTTTTTATTAATGAACATGGTTGTTTTGTTTATTAACATTTGTCTATAAAGTTAATTTCTCGTCTTACGCTTGAACCAATCATGACATGCATCTAATAGCGGTTAGAGACGTAAAATATGGGCCTTGAAAATGACGTTGGGCCTAAACCACAATGGGCCTTGAAAATGACGTTGGGCCCAAACTTCGAAACACAAATTTCATAAAAACAAAAATGTTATACAAAGCTTCTTTGATTTTTACGTTGATGGGATGAAAGCATATGATTGAAATAATATGTTTCAAAAATATTTTTGAACTTCGAAAATTTTGTAAATACTTATCAACCTTTTTTAAACAATTCAAAAATACTTTTTAACATTAGTGATATATTTAAAAAGCACCCATAAAATTTTATTAACATCTTTTAATTTCATAAAAAAATATTCAAAAAAATTATTAATGTCTATGAGCAAAAATCATTACTTTAGGTAAAAATATTTTTAAATTATTTAAAAAAGATTTGAAAAGCATTTTTTAAGTTTTTTCTTTTAAAAAAATAGAATATACGTGAAATTTCAAAAAAAAAAAATTAAAAGTATTTAATAAGTCCTTTTGAAATTCATTTCAAAAGGAGAGTTTTTAAATATTTTAGAAATTTCTTAGTACTTTTTAAAAATTTAATAATATTTTTTAAAATGAAATAGTTATCAATTCAATTAATAAAGCATATTTTGACAATTAATTTCCAATAATAAGTTACCCAAAATACCCTTTGAATATGGATATTGTTGTAATAATAAAACTTGGTCAGATCCTCAAAATACAACCCCACCCATCTCCCACTCTTTTTTTTCTTTTCTTTTTTTTTCTTTTTAATCATTAAAATAACAATTATAAAATTTAAATCAGAAGCCAGAAGGAGCCTCCTTTACAAAAATACCCCCACGAGAGACACAAAATGCCATCCATGTCCCCAAAATCCCCTCCTTATAATAATAATAATAATAAATAAAAATTCAATAGAGTGGGGCCCGCTGTGGGGTACCTTTTCTCCGGCTCAATAAACTCCCAGACGTCTCGGAAATCGTCCCTGGCCAGCAAGCCGGCCGGCACGCTGCCCTATACGCCGCCGTCAAGCTACTTCTCTTTTTCTTCACGAAATCCGTCGTTGCCGTCGACGCTACTACACTCCTCCCTCCTTCTTCTACACCGCTGCCGTCGGAACCGGAGGAGGTCTGGTTCGAACCACCGAATTCTAGAACAGAGTCCGGCGTCATCATGAGCCCGTCGTCCCATGCCGAGAAATTACACTCCAAAACATTCCTCGAAACGCCACCTTCCGTCTTCATCAGATAATCAATCTGTGAAACGAAACCAACATTCATAACAGAAGATGATTGAAAATCGAATGGGGATTTTGAAATTAAACCTTGCAGGAAAGAGAGCAAAAGAGATAAGGATCTTGAAGGCTTCTATCGCAGGTGCTGCAGAGGTTGCCGGAGGAGCCTCGGAAGTTTCTGGTCTGTGGCCTTTGTTTCAGAAACACCACTTTCGCACTATTCGTAGTGTAAGACTAAATCAACCAACCAAAAACAACAAAATTACTCTGTTTCTGCAAACCCAATTAAAGATGAACAACAAGGTTACTCTGTTTCTTCAAACCCAATTAAGATAAAGAATAAAATTACTCTGTTTCCGCAAACCCAATTAAGATGAACAACAAAATCACTCTATTTCTGCAAACCCAATTAAGATATAGAATAAAATTACTCTGTTTCTGCAAACCCAATTAAGATAAACAACAAAATTACTCTATTTCTGCAAACCCAATTAAGATAAACAATAAAATTACTCTGTTTCTGCAAAGTCAATCAAGAACATACTTGAACAGAAGCGCAGTCGATGAGTTTAGTAGCATCATCCAATCGAATCACATCGTGATACACATAACGCCTAATCTGAAGAAGAACGAAAAAGGAATTAAGAAAGAATGAAGAGGGAAATGGGTATTGATGAAAATGGGTTGAGAATTGACCTGGAGGAGTTTGTGGGACGAATGGGAGGAGAGGCAGTGAGGGCAAATGCCGAGAGAGCAGTCGAAACAGAAGATGTTTTTTTCGTTCTTTTTGGCGTGTTCGTGAAGAACACAGGCGTTGAAGAACTTGTGGGTGAGGAGCGCTTGGAGCCAGATGGGTAGGGAGTGCTGCAAGAACAAGAAACAGAGTATAGGGTTTAGAAGTGATTAATTGGTGAAGGAGAAGAAGAAGAAGAAGAAGTATTAATGAACCCACCATTGTTGTTGTGATGAGAGAAGGAGGGAGTGATTAGGGTTTAAGAAGGCATTGGGAGAGAGAGAGACAGAGAGAGACAGAGAGATGAAGGATCCTGAAAACCCTAAGCCAATTGGGGTACGTATAAATTGCTCATCGTTTCTGTGTCTCTCTTTCTCAAATGACAAGACGTAAAACAGTGACTTTTCTCTGTTACTGCACAGTAAAAAAACGGTAGATAAAAAAACAGATGAACTGTTTTACCCATCCCCACACGCTCCTCCTCTACTCTTCTTTCACCTTTCTCTCTCCCCAAATATCTAACTTAGTTCATATGTCTCGATAATTAATTATATCACCTTTATACGAACCTTTGAAAAATTTAAAATTCGGATCCATTTATGGGTTTATTTTTTTTTTTATGTCGTTGGGTCAACTCGAATATTTAAGTTTGTAATTGATGTTAGTGATCCATGGTGAGTTATAAAGGTTTGATATTTAAATTTTATGTAATTTTAGTTATTAATGTAATATTGAAGGTAGAAAAATAAAAAATTTATAAATAATTAAATAATAATAATTAAAAGGAAAGAATTTTATTGAGATTTTAGAGTTGAGTAAGAAGATTTATTTACTTCCTAATTTTGTGTATTAATCGAGTTTAATTTTGTGTTTTTGTTTTAAAATTAGGAAGTTTAATAAATTTTTTGCTTTTTACTTTTTGTTAAATTAAGTACTTCCCAAAATATTGCTTGATTTTTTAATTTAATGATATTCAAACTAATTTTAAAATTAAATGAAAATTAATTCTATTTAATTAATATACAATACTAACATTAAAAAAAAAATGGAATAATTGAAAATCTCGAGTATGTGACCAAGTCACGAAAGAATTGATAAATCCCATGATTTAAACCTTCGGCCTCGAAAGATATTATTATAAAATTACGATATGGATAAAAATTTATTAAAATTTAAGATAAAATATATAATTTTTTTTTATAAATAATAATTTAAAATAAAGTTCAAATTTTGGTCTGCTCTTTTTAAACTCTTTAATAAAATATATATAATATATGTTATTTTTAGGTATTTTCAGTATTTCAGGCTAATCCTAAGCAGTGGAATGTGCATTAAAATAGAATATTTCTCTTTTTTTAAATAAAAATAAAAAATAAAATATGAAAGTCAAAGTGCAGATATATTCTGCTGCCATTTCTGAATTTTGCAATTTTTTTTAATTTTTTTGGGAAACTTTTATTTTATTTCTACTAAAAAAAAGATTTATTTTTATTATTGTTATGGATACGCGTGTAATTATAACCAAACACGTGCAAGTGATAGAAGATATCGTCATCCGCCTCACGGTTTTAAAATAAGTCTACAAGAGAAAAGTTTACACACCCTTATATGGAATGATTTGTTCCCCTCTCTAACCGATCTGCGATCTCACAATAATCCAACTCTGACTAAGACTCATATATAAAACTTTTACAAGTCACAATGCATCATTTATATCGGTTACTGACGCTAAACATCCTTAATCTTAATAATAATTTTAAAAGTACAGTTGAGTTAGA